TAATACAAATGCCGAAGAAAAATACCAAAAGACCAGACGCTTTGATCAGCAGAGGGGCGAAACACAGCCATACTGAGAAATGAGCAGCATAAAGCTTTCGGACGAGGAGCGGCTGCCGTTCACGGGACCAGCCAAGGGACGCTGATCCGGGCAGCTCTTCAGCCCTGGTTTTGTTAATTATTTCCAACGTCACAACGATCAGAGAGAACTACAGCTGCGAGGAGCCATCAAGCCAGAGGGAAGAAGACAGACTTGGCGCTCAACCATCTGGTTGTTGAAGGGACGTTAAGCCCAGTGGCGGAACGCCCAGCAAGGCAGCCTCTCCCTGCGCTGTTTGCCCGTTTGCAGTCATGGTTCATGAGGGCCTGTGTCAGGTCCCCCGCCAGAATGTGGAGGGAGGGGACACCTGGGACACAGCGCAGCCTCACCACAAAGGGGAGTGAAGAGGGCCAGATACACACACCAGGACCCCGAAAAGAGGTCTAAGCCTCAGTATAACCAGATCCGACCTTGACCTCAAAAGCAGCGTGCTCACACAGCAAGGCAGATTCTGCCCCTGAGTGCAAGGTCAAGCTTGCGAGCTCTGTGAGGAGGGACAGTTAGACAGCTGACGGACAGTGTCAGCGGCTCACTCACGCTCCCTTCCCCTGCTGCCCCACCCAGGTAGCCCCCTTACACCGAGCTCCTGTCGTATTTCCACCTCTTCCTAAACATAAGCTGCGGGCCGCAGAACTTTGTCCATGAGGCACGTGGAGATGGAGTGGGTGCTATGGCGCTTTGCTGGAACTGCACGCCAGCACGGGCTTCACCCCGACTGAGTCTCCCCAACTCTCAATACCCCGGAGGAGACACCTGACCCGGGCTGGGGCACGCCTGACGCAAGGTGTGCTCTAGGTCCCTGACCACCCGTTCCTGAACTGGACAGCAGCTCCCAGACGAGCCCTCCATGTCAGGAAACCCCCTAGCCCACGTGTGGAACCCGCCTGCAGCCTCCCCAGTGAGCGGGGCACGCCCTGTCCTTTCTGCCTCCTCACAGGTCATCCTTCCCTTGTCTTCCCACTGACAGCCCCACATCCATCTCCAGCATCACCTCGATCCCAACGAACCTCTCCGTCCCCTGGATCATACCCACGCTATTTTGTCTGACCCACAGTAAAGCCCTGAATAGCGGGTAAGAAAGACTGTCAGGGATTGTCCATGACGGTAAAGGATTACGTTCAACCCAAAGGTCTAATTACAGGGAACTGATTAAGGAAACAATGGAATATTACACAGACACTACAAATCATCTTTTCACTGATTTTTTAAAATGGTCATGAACGTGACACATGACATGACTACAGTGTGATACAAATTTTGGTGGGGGATATTTTCCAACCCATCAACGGTCAGGAGGTCAGTAGGCGGCAGGCAGATGTACAGATATGGAGGGAGAGGAAGGACACCCGTCCTTGTCACCTCAGGCCACCAGAACCCAATGCCACAGACCGGGCTTTACAACAGGAATGTATTTCTCCTGGTTCCGGAGGCTGGAAGTCAGCTCAGGCGCTGCCTGGTGGGGTTCTGGTGAGAGAGAGCCCTCTTCCTGGCTTGCAGACGCCTGCCTGCGGGCTGAGTGCTCACACAGCAGAGAGACAGACAGAGCGAGCTCTCTGGTGTCCCTTCTTACGAGGGCACTACTCCCATCATGGTCCCCACCTCATGACCTCATCTGACCCTAATCACCTCCCAAACACCATCACGCTGGGGGTTAGGGCTCCAACATATGAATCTGGGGGGGACACAGTCCAAAACAGCACCTAACGATGTACAGTGGTACCTGCACAGACATTAACTATGGGTGGTATTGATTGTCTCAATTGCACTTTTCTGTAATTTTAGAATTTCCTTCATAATCAGGGAAGGAAAGCAAAAGGTGACAGGAAGGGGCCCGAGTGCTCTTGGGGTGTGATGGCAAAGACTCGGGGAGCAGGGGACGCACACACGGTCAGGTCAGGCTCGCACAGAGGACCCCGGGGCCCTCCTCGTTCTTGTTCGCCCATGGCGCGGGCTGGAGGCCGAGGGAGGAGGCCAGAAGGAAGGGCCGTGTGCAGGATCTTTGCGGGATGCTGCTGTAGGGAACCTTGCCGGCCTGACAGCCCAGTGCCAGGGAGAGGGTGGGGGTCCCGCAGTAGCCCACTCACGTGCACAGATGCGATGTTGGCCGGAGAGGCCTCTTCTGGGGCAGATCAGCTGGGCTGGCTCGGCCCTCTCTCTGAGGTCAGCCACAGGCACGTGGCTTTAGTCGGCAGTCATGGCAGGGTGCAGAGGACAAGGCCTCACAACTTTGCACTGGACCATGGCACAGCATCGTCACTGGCGACACACAGTCCAGCTCACAGCAGACGGACCACCGGGAGAAAGTGTGCCGGCGCTGGGCCTCATCCAGGACCACGGTGGGTGTGGAGGGGGGCGGAGGCCACTCTGCTGGGAGGATGGGGTGCTCAGACCTAAGAGTGGGTGGGCAGAGCTGAGGGCACAGGCCCGGTGAGAGACCCAGGCCCCAGTGGAGGTGCCTTGAGTCCCTGGACTATGACTGAGAGACACAGATTCAAATGCTGATTTTGCAACTTGGGACAAGGCTTTTCCATTCTCCAAGTCTCAGGCTCCTCACTTCTAGATGATTCTCTGTGATACTGTCATTTCCTCCCTTGCAAGCTCCTTGAGGATGTGGCCCCAGCCTGGTTCCTGGAGGCGGCAAGACCTCTGCCTGCCTTGAGGTTCCTCCCGGGCGTCCCCAGGCCTCTCCTGGGCCTCCTGCAGCCCAGCCCTCCTCTCAGGGCGACACCTGCGTACCTTAACACAAGTAGAGAGCTCAGAACAGGGCCTGGCACAGAGCAGGTGCTCTGTAACTGGTGACTTTTTTTACCATTGCGTTTTCTCATCTTTTTCCTTTTCATAATGAAAGATTTTTATTGTTATGCCGTTGTTCACAATCTCTGAGATCTTGCAAGTATCACAAAAGCAAACTTGTGGTACTGAAACCCCAGCCCCAGCACTTGTTGGTCATGATGCCACCAACGGCCACCCAAGGGCAGACCCTGTGTGCTGGCTCCAGGGGCACCAGGCACATAAGAGAGGATGGTCGCAGGAACATGCTTGTGGCTGGGCGTCTGAACTGAACCCATCGCCCGACCACTTCCTCTCTCCCTTTCTGATCCTGGTTCCCAGCAGGTGTCGTCAGTATTGATAATAAACGCCACAGCCATGTCTGTGTAAATATTTTCAGTACAAATAAAGTTCTGAAGCAATAAGCTTATACAGGGCTGCATTGGTTTGCTTGAAAATCCTATTTAAAATTGACATATCTTCTGTTAGCCCCCCACTGAAACACATTATTACAAAAGTTCCTGCTTTCCAACTATACTCTTTTTAGGAGAAAGCGGACGCGCCCAGGGAAGGAGTAAGATGCAGGGCTGTTTACTCCCTTCCCAGCTGGCCACGAGGACCCCAGCCACTGCAGGCCAGTTGGTGCTACTGGTTTTACAGCTGCAGAGCAGCCCCCAGCCCAGGTGGGTGGGGCATGTGCGCTGTGGGTCCGCGGGCCCTGAAGCCAAAGCTGGACTGCCGGAGCCAGGGCTCTTCCTCCTGAAAGCACAACATTCTGTTGCGTATCCTGGAAACCGTCCTAAGAGGGCAACTTCGCTCCTTGGGACTGAAGTTTACGAGGAGGTAAGCAGGAATCTACTTGCCATTATCGTGGGGGGAAACACCTCTCAGGGAGTTGCCAAAGCGAGTCTTAATTCATGGGCACAAATCAGCTTTCAGAAAGGCCACTGCCTTTCTGACACTTTCCCCCACACTCCGCCCTCCCGGGCCGTGGGCTCCGCGACACCCCCAACCCCACCTCTTGTTCCTTTTTGCTCATCTTATTCTTTCAAGGGGCTGGGCGGTCCTGTCCTCCCGCTTGTAATCCCGAGCCCTGGCAGGCACACTGCTCGGCCCGGGGAGCTGTCCACAGGCTCTCAGCTGGTCCTGCCAGCACCCAACGGCCCCCTGCTCCCTGGGGCGCCAAGGCAGGAAGGACGTTCCGATTTCCTGGGGTTCGCCGGCAGGTCAGAGCCTAGATCTGCCAGTCATCACCCCTGCTCTTTCTATCTGCAGACAGCATGCAACCGAGACAGGCGTTGACGCATTCCATCACCGCAGGAAGAGAATATTGGATCAAAACCCAAGATGCAGGGCAGGAAGGAATTGCTAAAAATCCCCACTGCTTCTCCCAAGAGGCAAGGTCGAGGGAACAGGCAGAAGGTGTCTTCCAGGAAAACTGCGGAGGCCGGCGCCTCCTCTCTGACTCCTGACCCCCAGCCAAACCCTTCAGTCTGGGGCTTCCCGTACTGCGAGCATCCGACAGCTACGCCACCACCCCCAGAAACGGGCACACGTGAAATTTAAAAATTACACACCAAAACACACACACACACGCGCACTCACACAAAAACCCCCACAGGGGCCGCGCCTTCCTGGGGGCGGCTCAGTCGGCGACGCGGAAACGCCCCAGCTTCGCAGCCCTAGGGGCGCGAGCACCTGCGCCCCACCCAGGACCGGCGTCCCCGCGAGCGCCGCGGCCTGGGCGCCTGCCGCTGGCTCCCCGGCAGTCCCGGGAAATGAGCGCGACCGAGAGAGGTGCCGATGGCACGCGGGGGTCGCCTGGAGAGGCAGAGAGGATCCCCGCCACGGGCAGGGGCGCCCCGGCCGCAGGACCCGGCCTGCGGGACGTCACCCCGCCGCCCTGCCACCTCCGGGCCGCCTCTGGACCACCTCCAGACCATCCTTGGGCCACCTCTGAGCCTCCTCTGGACCATCTCCAGCCACCTCTGGGCCGCCTCCTGCCACCTCCAGGCCATCCCGCCACCCCGCCACGCAGGACGCCCCGGCCCGGGGACGCACGGTGCCGGGCGCGGGCGGAGCGCAGAGGCCCTGCCCGGCTGGGGCGGCGCGCGGGTCCGGCGGTTGCTCACCGAGGCTTCCCGCGGGCGCACGGGCTCCGGGCGGCGGCGTCCGACGGCCCCGCTCGGCCATTGCAGTGGCGCTGCGGCGGGCGGGGGGCGCGCGTCACCGCGGGCGGGCGCCCCAAACCCAGGGCCCTCCCCCGACACTCCGCGCTCCCGGGCCGCGCGGCTCCGCGACACCCCCAACCCCACCTCTTTTTCCTTTTTGCTCATCTTATTCTTTTAAGGAGCAGGTTTGCGGTCTAGTAAAATCAGGAAACGACGTTGCTAAAAATAACCCCGGCTGCTGTGGAGAGAGTGCGGAGGGAGGGGAAGAGAGAAAGGCCAGCCTCTGTCCACCCCGCACTGACCAGCACCCAGCGCCACGGGTTTCCGAGGGACGTTCACGCAAGAATTACTCACCCACGCTTCATGTTGGATATTAGCAGCCATGAAGCAGCGCAGGAGGCTCGCACGTGTGTTTTAACCGTTAACTCTCGGCTTCCCATCTCCAAATGCTGCCTTCCACCGCCCGGAGGAGAGGAAATGCGCTGCGGAGCCTCGCGTGGAGCAAATCATCTCGTTGCTCCCGATTCAGATGCACAAATCCGTGGTTAAGCCGTGGCCTCCGGGGCCTGCTGGCGTCAGGATCCCAGCTCCACCACCTCTCCCTGCTCTGGTCTGAGTGTCCGTCTGTGAAGTAGGAAGAATGCCAATACCCACCTCTCCGAGTTTCTGGAGGAGTTAAATGAGTGAATAATGTGGCCCACGGGAAGGGTAAATGTTTTATGAAAACCTGTGTGCAGGGTAAGATGTTCCCTCGTGGAATGCATTCCTTCGCCAGATACCAAGATGGTAAACCAGCAGATCCCAGAGTTGGGGGCACTGAGAGCAGGTCCTTCTGCAAGTGGATCCTTGAGTGTGAGAGTGAGAGGTGGCCCTCCCACTCTTACTGCTTCCTTCTGCACCCCTGCCTTCCGGCCACAGGAATACCGGGACCGTTTATTGATTGCTGGCTACGAGCATCTCTGATGACACAGAAACTCAGCCTTGCAAGCCTTGTTCTCCCAACCAGCACCCGATGGCACCTTTAATTAGGCCATTCCAACCTTGTCTGCCCTTCCAGATGACAGACAGAGTGAGACCTACGTCCCCTGCGTGTCAGCCCCTTCTCACACTTCTTTGGTTCCTTGGTCAGAGGCAGCGGTGGGTAGACGGGTGAAGAAAGCACTCGGTTAGACTCAGGATGGGGTTCCTGGTGCAAGCCTGGTGGGCAGGGAAGGAAAAAGCACACGCAGGCTAAGCGGCTACTCCGCTGAGGTCCAATGGAATCAATTTGCTACTAGATGATTGGCTGGTCCCCCGGGGTGTGGTGCCACCGTGTTGGTCTCAGCTGCTGATCGATTGGGCACTCAGCAGCAGCAGTAGCCGATCGGCCTTGGTGGGGAGAGACTGATATTGTTAGACCCAGATCCACTCTCCATCCATGCCACCATCGCCACTTCTTTCAGGAGCTTTTCGTGCAAAGACTGGGATGACCGGAGAAAGCAGCGCCGGCATCTGTGGAGTGGGGCGTCTCACCCACCCAATACTGAGCACCTCCCACACAGTGGGAGCATTTGGGGAGCAGGTACATGGAACAAATATTTTCACATCTGGGCCTATTCCAAAAGGTCTGTCTGTCCCATACTTCTTTCCCCAGGCCCCCTTCACCCTGATCCTCCAGACCTCTGCCTTCTAAGTCCCTGATCATCAGTGTAGACAAATAGTCAACTCTCCTTCCAGGAAAAGTGGCTAACCAACTCTACTGCTCCAGTGGCCCCTGGACGATTTCCCTTCCCCGCTGTCCGTTAGGGCCAGCTCCAGCAGGGCGGTGATGCTGTCCATCCTCTTCCAGCCGATACCAGCGCAGCATGCAGAATCATCTGTACCCCAGGCTCTATTTTTCATTCGTCCATCAACTTGTCTTAGGGACTTCCCCATAAAACCAGAAATGCAAGTGGAAGGACAGGAGTGCAGCGGGATTGGTGCATTCAGAGGGTGAGCTGCCTCCTCGGGTGGCTCACATGGATGCTGAGGACACGCTTGAGGGCGGCCTCACGTTAGTCGCCTAGGGCTGGCATAACACAGTGCCACAGACTGGGGCCTTCGATGACAGAAGGGCACTTCCTCACAGTTGTGGAGGCGGGAAGTCCAAGGTTAAGGTGCTGGCAGGGTCGGTTTCTGGCGAGGCCTCTCCTGAGGATCAGCCTTGCTTCGGGGTCAGTGTCCTCCTCAAGGTCTGAGTATTTTCCTTCCCCCGTGCGCACGCAGTCTGGGGAGTGTGGCTGCAGGTTTTTTCAGAAAGGCTGGGAGGACTTTTTTTAATACTTGTGGTGCTGGTGCAGGATCCCTCCCCAGAAACACCCGACCTGTCCTGAACTCAGAGGGCCCTGGGTCTGCGAACTGAGTCGTGTCTGATCCCTGAGCGAGCGGCTGCGACCTCTAGCCCAGCGGTTCAAGGCTGGCTCTGTGCACTCAGCTGAGAGTTTAGTTATTTCAGCCAAATGGACCAAGTGGGCCCTGAGGGGGCTCCCCATCCATTTCGGCCCCAGGAATCATGTGACGGTTCACCGCCACCAAAAGTTCCTGTGGGTCAAGCCATTCTGATTACCACCAACTCTCCTGCAAACTGAGGCCACTGCACCCGCTTTGATTTGGGCAGTGAAGAGCTGTTACTTGACCTCTGCAGGACCCGAACCCTCCACGGCAGTCAAGAAGCCCCTTTACCCCGACCCCCGGAAGACAGCCACCCCAGCGCTTCCCCAGGATTCGGGCACCTCCTCACCAACGTCTGTCTCAGTGCCTTGGGGAGGGGAGAGCTCCGTGTGCTTCTGGAGGGAAAGTCAGGGGGCGGTGGGCTGCACACGATAAAGGCCTGCGTCCCTAAGCCTTTCCATTCTTTCTGGCACGTAAAGGAATCCTTGCACGTCAACTTCATTCCACACTGCGTTCAGGTTTCACCCAGCCAAATGAGCAGACAATTGGAACTATCACGCTTGTGCTCCAGCTAGCACACCGAACCCAGAATCTCTCCTTACTCACCGTAAGCCGCCCCATGTCAAAAATGTAAGCCCATTTAACACACAAGTTAAAGAAGGACTAGTGAGTGAATATTTGATGACAAACAGCATATAGAATAGAGAAGTAGTCTCCACATATCTCCCCCGGGGACGCTTAATAACAAAGGGAAATCGTGTATTCACAGGAGAAACCTGCCAGACACCAGGGTTAACCTGGAAATGAAGTTAACATCTGTGACGGAACAAAGCAAGAGCAGGTACCTCAAAACGTGACAACCAAGAAGAACACAATTTCCGAAGTATTCCCGCCCAGATTCGTACCTGATCTGTGAATGAGCAAACATCCGACAAACCCCAATCGAGGGACACATCCACAAAGTGGAAGAAAAGGCTGAGGAGCTCGTCTAGAATAAAGGAGATTAAAGAGAGATGAAATGAAAGCCACTCGTAATCAGGGTTTTCTTTTCCTGTAAAAGACATTATTAGTGGGAAAATTTGATCAGCAAATGACATTATTTCAATGTTAATTTCCTGATTTTGATAGTTATGCTGAGGTTCTGTATAAGTGTATCTTTGTTTTTAGGAAACACGCACTAAAGTATTTAGGGGAAAAAAGGCTTCATGCTTACAACTTACTCTCAAGTGTTTCAAAAAAATGTATACACACACACACATATGCACACATGCATACATAAATAGAGAAAGAGATAAAGCAAACATGGCAAAATATTCACATTGGGGGAACCCAGGTGAAGGGTGAACAATAATGTTTTGTACTATTCCTGCAATTCTTAGTAAGCCTAAAACTATGTCAAATTTTAAAGTTTTTTTAAAGTTATAATACTCCCTCCATGACCAAGCACCCTTAGAACGCATTTCCACATGTATTCCCCACGATTCTGCCAAAATAAATTAGCAGATTCTGCAGTTCCTTTGTCATGTAAATCTCCCTCCGTGGGCTGGACTTTGTAACTGGCCCCTGGGGCGTGCTGGTATCTGACCACACTCGGGGCCTAGGATCAGGAGAAGGTAGCAGGGGTGCTTTGCCATCACCTACCCGTGACTGCCTCACCGAGCCTTCGAGTCAAGCAGGACCAATCTCTTCAAACCATAAAGTGATGGGAGAATCAGTGAGGCCCCGGGGGCTCAGGGTATTCAGGGTTATCCAAATCCTGCCGAGTCATCGTTTACGAGCCTCACATTCCCTGTTAGATTGCGTGCTGTAGTAGGTGCTGCGTGGTCTGCGGAAGCCGTGCCTTCAGGCGATGCTTCATTCCAGCTCATCGCAGGTGAGACTTCAAGTAGCTGTTTCCCCCTAGATACTGCAGACCACCGGTAACCCGAGGTGGTGAGATCCTCACCATCTTCGGACTCAACCAAGTCAGATCACAAGTCTCAGACTCCCATCCTTGAGGATTTGTCTCCTGCAACCACTTATTGAGATAAATACTGTCACAGGTCAGTTGTGTATAACAGAAACAACTCTATTTTTAGCAGAAATGAATTTAATACAAGAAATTGAGTGTTTATAAAATAATTGAAGGACTGGAAGAATGGGCTCTTGGCTGGGTCTCCAGAGGTTATTTCCAGAATAACGTTTCCAGAGCTAGCCCAGCAAGGGAATGGCTACTTCTGACAAGATCAGGACACTGGGGACCCAGGAAGCCACTGTCCCCGCTGCCGGCTCCATGATTACCACCCCAGCTGCACTCCAGGGGCCAGGAGGAAGCCCCACAACCTCTGCCACACCTGCTGGACCACAGCAGTGAAACAGGTGACTCATGACAGTGCCTCTCCCCCCACTTAACCTGATTCTGAACCTAATCTTGTGCAAGTTCATTTAATTAGTGGAAACGGAATCACCAGCTGCAACCCTGGCTGTGAGGGAGTCAGAGTAACGTGGGGCTTAACCTTTCAGCCTCGACCATACAGGAAGGCACCAGAAGGAAGTCGAAACAGCTGAAAAGCGAGACAATCTATGGCGTCTAACTCATGGGCAGAATGAAAGAGGCTCTACGGAGAAGTGGAAGAAAACGCCGCGAGAATGCAGAGGAGGAAACCATTTATTCTGGCTGGGTCAGAAATATTCCAGCTAAGCCCTGACAAACGAGTAGGATTTCTGCAAGACAGAGAAGGCAAAGAGGACAATCACGGATGAGGGCACAGCATGAGTACAGTCACTATTGTGACGGCTTCTCTATAAATTTGAAATGATTTCAAAATAAAACAAAAAATATAAATATTGTGGTTATATAGAAACATGACAAAATTTTATGACATTAAAATCATATCAGTTCAGTGTCTTTAGCAGCAAAATTTTTAAAACCCTCAACTATACTTAAAGAATAATTAAGTATGTTATGTCACATAACAAGAAAACGAGAGGTAGGACAGACAGACATGAGGATTGGTTGATTAAGCATCTCAATATCTTCATCAAGGATACAAGGTCCTTCTACCTCTTTCCTTCCATCCTCAGTATTAACTTCATCCTAAGGCTGTTTAGCCTCATGGTACCAAGAAGGCTGTAGGGGTTCCACACATCACACCCAGTACTGACAACATCCAAGAGAAGGGATGAGCAGTTTCCTCCTTAGTCTCTTTTCCCAGAATCCTGGAACTGACTTTCCCTTGGGCCACATGCCCCCTTGTAAGCCACTATTAAAATGGAAATAGAATTACCGTGTTTGGCTTTGTTGTGTCTGGGTGGAACGAATGTTGGGAAGTCAACCATGTGACTACTTCAGACACTGAATTTAAAAAGCAGAATACAAGAGAATGTTCATTAAGCAACATTCTCCACAGGACTTAAACAATACCAGAGTCTCATAGCGTAATATTCAAAGTGTCCAGGATACAACCTTCAATTACCCAGCAAACCAAGAACCATGACAATCTCAACTAGAATGCAGAAAGTCCACCAATGCTGAGATGACGGACATGTCGGGATTATCTGACAACGTAAGCATGATAGGACTGCTCCAACAAGTAAGAGGAAACGCTCCTGAAAAAACAGAAAGAGGACATCTCAGCAAAGAAGTAGAAAATATAAAGAGGAATCAAATGGATATTTTGGAACTAAAAATATAATAACCAAAATAAAAGCCTCACTAGATGGACTCAAAAGTAGAAGGAAGACGACAGAGGGAAGAGGCAGTGAACCTGAAGACAGATCGATAGACACGATCCAGTCTGTACAACAGAGAGGGAAAAAGATTGAAAAACAGAGGCCGGCTCAGTGGCGCAGCGGTTGAGTGCACACATTCCACTTCGGCAGCCCGGGGTTCACGGGTTCGGATCCCAGGTTTGGTCATGGCACCGCTTGGCAAGCCATGCTGTGGTAGGCATCCCACATATAAAGTAGAGGAAGATGGGCACGGATGTTAGCTCAGGGCCAGTCTTCCTCAGCAAAAGAAGGAGGATTGGCAGCAGATGTTAGGTCAGGGCTAATCTTCCTAAAAAAAAAAAAAAAAAAGATTGAAAAAGGAACAGAGACTCAGGGAGCTGTGGGACAACATCAGAAGATCTAACATTTGTGTTATCAAAGCTCTGGAAAATGAGGAGAGTATGTTTAAGAAAAGCCATTTGAAGAAATAATGGCTGAAAACTTGCCAAATCTGGTAACTGAGACAAAGAAAAAATCCTGAAAGCAGCCAGAGGAAAATGATGCATAAGGAAATAGTTTGAATTACTGCCAAAAACATGGAGCAGAGAAGGAAGTGGGACAACATTTTTGAAGTGCTGCAAGAAAAACTGTCAGAATTCTATATGCAGAGAAAATATCCTTGAAGAATGAAAGTGCTGTGGACCAGATGTCTGTGTCCCCCAGTTCATCTGTTGAAACCCACCCCCAATGTGGTGGTATGGGAGGAGGGGCTTTGGGAGGTGTTTAGGCTGTGAGGGTGGAGCCCCCACGAATGGGATCGGTGCCCTCTTAAAAGAGGCACAGGACTGAGTCCTCACTCCTTTCCCCCTGTGAGGGCACAGTGAGAGGACGGCCGTCCACCAACCAGCACACACGCTCTCACCAGACATCCAATCTGCGGGTGCCTTGATTGTGGCCTTCCCAGCCTCCAGAACTGCAAGAAATAAATGTCTGCTGTTTATTCTCTGCTCAGTCTGTGATACTCTGTTACAGGAGCCTGAACAGATTAGGGCAGAAAGTGAAATAAAACGCTCTCAGATAAAGATAAACTATCGGAATTTGTTGACAGCAGACGTTTGTCGATGAGAGACATCACAAGGAAGCAATGGACTGAATCTAGGATGTGGGAAATTGTTTACGAACAAAGGCACATCCTAAAACTAAGTAGACATAGCTCGAAAGGGAGAGAAAAGCACACCATGTAAATACCGCCCCAGCCCACAGCAAAGCTGGGGCAGCGCTATTAAGATCTGATAAAATGGACTCCACGGCAAAATTTGCTACTAGAAATAAAGACGACCACGTCTAATAAAAGGTTTAGTTTGGGGCTGGCCCAGTGGTGCAGCGGTTAAATTCACACCTTCCGCTTCTTGGCGGACCGGGGTTCACCGGTTCAGATCCCGGGTGTGGACATGGCACCACTTGGCAAAAAGCCATGATGTGGTAGGTGTCCCACATATAAAGTAGAGGAAGATGGGCATGCATGTTAGCTCAGGGCCAGTCTTCCTCAGCAAAAAGAGGAGGATTGGCAGTAGTTAGCTCAGGGCTAAACTTCCTCAAAAATAAATAAATGAATAAAAATTGTTTAAAAAAAGGTTTAGTTCATCAGGAAGATATATGAATTTTAAATGTGTATGCCTATAATAACACTGCTTTAAAATATATAAAAATAATTCAACAGAAGTATTGAAAAAATCCATAATTGTAGTGGAAGAAATGAACACTCCTGCCTCAATAATTATTAGAATAAACAGAAAATTAGAACATAAGCATATAAAAGATATGAACAACCTCATCCACAAAGTTGATCTAATAGACATATAGAAAACTGTATTCAACAACACATAATATTTTCAAGCTCAAGCATAATTTTTATAAATATCAACCATATTCTGGGCAAGACTCAAAAAATTTTAAAAGTCAAAAAAATTTCAAAGAATTAAAATCATACAGAGCTTATTCTCTGACCATAATGCAATTAAGCTTGAAATCAATAACAAAAAGATACTAGAAAATAGCCATATGTTTGGAAATTAATAAACACACTTCTAAATAACTCATTTTGGTCAAAGGATAAATCATAATAAAAATTAGAAAAATACCTGTAAATAAGCAATGATGAAAATACTAAATATCAGACTTGTGGGATGCAGCTAAAGCTATGCCTAGCATTTTTATCCCTGAGTGTATACCACAGAGGGAAACAGCTGAAGCGTAGGGAGCAAAGCATCCATCTCAGGAACTTGGAAAAATAGCCAGCCAAACCCAAATGAAACAAGAGGAGCCAACAAATACAAGGGAGAACGTGATGAAACGGGAAAACACACAACAGAGAGGATGAACTAAGCCCAAAGTGGTTCTTCGAAAATGCTCGTATGATTCATAAGCCTCTGACAAGTTTTTTTTAAATGCTTCAGATATTTAAAAAAGTAAGTTTTGTGCCAATAAATTAGAAAGTTTTTAATGAAATGGATCAGTTCCTGGAAATGTAGCAAAATTAACTCAGAAAAAATAAGGATTTTTAAAGACATTGAATCAATAATGAAAAAATCTTCCCTCCCATAAAACTCTAAGCACAGATAGCTTCCCTGGCAGTTTCCACCAGATGGACAAGAAACAAGAGATACAATCTTACACGAACTCTTCCAGACAACAGGGGAAAGGGCAACAAGCCCCAGCTCACACGGCACTGATAGGAACCGCACAAGAAAGGAAAGTCGGAGGTCAATCTTACTCACTTTAGTCAGTGTGAGTGGGAAAATAAACGCAGGAAAAATAATTGGATAAAATTCAACTTTGAGTCATGAGTTTAAAAATTCTAAGCTCACAACTAGAAGAACCCATGACTAAATGTATACAACTATGTGCTGGGAGGATTTGGGGAGAAAAAAGCAGAAAAAAAAAAGAAGATTGGCAACAGATGTTAGCTCAGGTGCCAATCTTTTAGAAAAAAATAAATCTAAGCGGACTTGGAGGAGAAAGGAACTTCTTGAACCTGGTGAAAGGTCTCTACCAAGAAAGGAAAACAAAACTACCCCAAGGGTCATCACAGTGGAATGACAGATCATCGTAGCAAAGTGAGAGAAATTTCCGTGAGCCCAGAAATAAGACCAGCATGTCCACAACCAAAATTTCTACTCTACATCGTACTGGAGGCCCCAGACTTCACAGGAAGACAATCACAACAGCAACAGCAATAATGGTGAAGTATAAGCATTGAAAAAGAAAGAAAAAGCTATCATTATTTGCAGATGATATAATTGGATATGTAGGAAATCTAAAAGACTTTACAGATAAATTATTAGAATTAACAAGAGTTCAGCAATATTGCTGAATTCAAATCTAGCTATAAAAATCATTTAGAAAGTAAATTTTTTTAAAAAAGAAAAAAAACCATTTACAAAAGCATAAAAAAATGAAGTATCTCAGTATAAATGTGCAAGATCTTTACAAAATTATAAAAATTTATTGTTAAAAAACCCCTAAATAATGTAGAGTTCTACTACACTCTTTGCCTGGAGGATTGAACTATGATAAACAAGTCAGCGCTCCTCAAAGTGATCAATAAGCCTACTACAATTTCAATAAAAATCCCAATAGTGTGTGTATTTATTATTTATCACTACATAATAAATTACCTCAAAATTTAGAGAGGGCAAACAGCGCACATTTGTTATCTCACAGTCTCTGTGGTCAGGAAGTCAGACACAGGTTAGATGAGTCCCCTTTTTCAGGTTTTCTCACAGGGCTGCAACCAAGGTGTTGGCTGAGGTCTCCTCTGAAGGCTCAGCTGTGGAAAGATCCACTTCCAAACTCACTCACATAGTTGTTAGCAGAATTCAGTTCTTCTCAGGCGGTTGGACTGAGAGCCTCCTCTCTCACTTCCTTGCCAAACGGGATTCTCCTTGAGACAGCTCACAACATGGCCGTCTGCTTCCTCAGAGCAAGCTCACGGGAAGAGAGCAAGCAAGATGGAGTCACAGTCTTCACCTCAGAAGTGACATCCCACCAGTTTTCCTGTGTTTTGCTCATTAGAAACAAGTCACTAGGTCCAACTCAAACCCAAGGGGAGTTTCCACAAGGGAATCTATACATTTATTTGAGTTAAATGGAAATGCTAGAAATGCTAGACAAGAAAAATATGTCAACAATTAATTATTTTATGGGCTTATCAGCAGATGAAACAAGGAAGAAAAAATCTATAAAGTTGAAGACATATCAATAGAAATTATCCACACTGAAACACAAAGAGAAAAATAAATGAAAAAGAAAATGGAGGGGCCGGCCCCGTGGCCGAGTGGTTAAGATCGCGCGCTCTGCTGCAGGCAGCCCAGTGTTTCGTTGGTTTGAATCCTGGGCACGGATATGGCACTGCTCATCAAACCACGCTGAGGCAGCGTCCCACATGCCACAACTAGGAGGACCCACAACAAAGAACATACAACTATGTACTGGGGGGCTTTGAGGAGAAAAAGGAAAAAATAAAATCTTAAAAAAAATAAATAAATAAATAAAATAAAAATTCATTAATAAAGAAAAGAAAAAGAAAATGGAAAATGGTTCCCAAGATCTGTGGGAAAATATCAAGAGTCTACAAGGCACACAATACATACAATTGGAGACTTTGAAGGAGAAGAGATAAGGAACAGAGCAGAATAAATACTTGATGAAATAATAGCTAAGAATGTTCCCAATTAATGAAAGATATTAACCACTGAGCCAAGAAGCTCAAAGAACCCCAAGTAGGATGAATACAAAGAAAAGCATTCCTAGGTATATCATAATCAAACTGGTGAAAATCAAAGATAAAGAAAAAATCCTGCAAGCAACCAGAGGAAAATAAACACAATATAGAAAAAGGAACAAGAAAAGAACAATGTCCTATTTTTCATTAGAAGCAATGGAGAATTGATGACAATGGAGCAACAGCTTCAAAATGCTGGGGGAAAATCCCGTCAACTTAGAATTCTATATGCAACAAAAATATCCTTAAAAAGTAAGGTGAGGGGCCAGCCCGGTGGTGCAGCGGTTAAGTACGCACGTTCCACTTCAGCAGCCCAGGGTTCACCGGTTTGGATCCCTGGTGTGGACATG